TCCCCTATAACACTGTTGATAATTCCGTTTTATATGAATTCCATGTTGTACGAGTCACTTAGATTTTACAAATACGTGAGCCGTTCACAGCCCGGCACACGTATTTGTAAAATCTAAGTGAATCGTACAACATGGAATTCATATAATACGGAATTATCTACAGTATTATAGGGGGGTGTCTACTGTAGTTAATCCGGTTCCGAAATTTGAGAAATCAGTTATTTATATAAAATTTTAAATTGTCGATAAATGATAAATTACTGAAAATCTTCGATTGTTAACTCTATTTTTTCCTTTTCAAAGCCCCGTCGTAGAGACAATCTGGAAACTCTAAATCATATCTGCACACAAGGAGTACCTTGTTTGGATGGTAATTAATTGAAAAATAAATAATTAAAAACAACTTTATTGATTAAGCTTACATTTTATTGATTTAACTATTTCTATATAACATCAATTACTTAATTTTTTTTGTAGAGAAAGGAAAACAAGCTTACGGAATAGCCACGTGGGAAGAAAAATCTGAAATCCTACCGGCCCTTGTTCCAGAAACGATTTCAAAATCTGCCGAATTATGATCTTGTCTCTGCACTATTATAAATTTATATTTTTTATATAAATGTGCAGTATTAAAAATAAACTATTTTATGCTAAACATTTTAATGATTTTTTTTTTCTGATATATATTTTTATAATCTTTTTAAAATAATATTTGAAATAAACAAATATTAAGTTTCGAGTACTTTTTTTTTTAACAACAGCCATTTTCTTTTAAGAAATAAACTAATTTTACCGTATTATTTATCTTTATTTAATTCATATCATTGTAAATTTTGCGCATCCGAAATGATGTCGAAGATGGTATTAATATGCAGTTGATAACTTGGAGCTGCAACTCCTTAGAATCAAATGAAGCCAGTATAGGTGCGTGCAGGATGAAAGTCGCCATCTTGACGGTGGAAGAAACAGTAGAAAGGTTGCTGCCGAAGTTTTCATCTCTAAACTCTAAAACGTGAACGTTGAGCACCTCCATCTTGTAAGCCTAGAAGTTTGACAATGGCGTTTGGAACGTCGTTGGAATCATGCTTGATAAGTGAAACAAGAGCAAAGAAGAAAACAATGCAAGCAACATTAGTGTTCACGGATACAGGAAATTGTGGATTGAAAACCAATTTTTAAATATTAATAGAAATTTGANCCGCTCAGGATTCTGGCTTAGTGTTCTGCGTTACTGAACACGGCCCTAGCGATTTTAGGTAGTAGCCCTCACGTTCAAGAAGGAAGAATTGAGGAGATTAGAAAGTTCTCGAAGATAGAAAGAACAGAAAACACGGAAAATTTTAAGAGCAAAAGACAGATAGTATGGCTTACGGCCACACTAACCTGTGAACAAAATGCGTTTTTTAAAGTACAGTACATACACATACAAAATCCAGTAATCAGACATCTGCTAATCCTATATGTGTCGAATTGGACTTTACTGTATATATTGATATTTTTCACAATCTCCGAAGGTGCCACAAGCTACCCAACACTTCGTTCAAATCGCCCAGCATTTAAAACCTCCTCAAATTTAGCCAAATAATTTTTCCTTAATGTTGCCAACTTTTCCATAGTAAAAATCAGTTTTTCCGGCAAATTAATATATATTAAAACCAACAAAATATTTACGGTAGAAACACATTTTAAATCGCACAAGAGCCACACAGACTCTGTGCCATATTCAATTAACTTGGATGTAGTGTCTGCGATTTCTGCTTCGGTGCTTCGTCGACATAATAATTCAAACAGCGATCTTCATTCCATTTATCTCCAAAATCAGTTTTCTTAGCATCTCTAACACATTCTCGGGATTTTTGTGAATGCCTTCTTAGCATTAACAGAAATCCCGAGAGTATGTTTCATTGCCCGAATACGTTGTAGCATCTTCCCACGGTAAATAATACTTTTTTTACGACAGGTATCGACATTGCGTGCCGGTTTCTAGGAGGTTTTCTGGTCCTTCGTCAAAAATATTCTCGGAAATATGGAAGTACAACTTCTGAGGATCACTTTAGCCACGGATATCTTCCAGTCATACAAATTCCAGTCGACGTATGGTTCCAGATTTCCCATATCAGTGTATTCTGATATTTCCAGAATTTCCTGGTGCTTACTCACTAGAAAGTGCAGTCATCTCACTTGGCTTTTGATTTGCTTCATTTGCCAGCCGGGATTACATCATGCCATCATCGTGAACTTTGTATTTTGTCCTTCGCAACTGTCAGAAAACAATTAAATATTTTTTACGTCTTCGAGTTTCTGTCACATCAAATTATTCTCGTAAAGACTAGCATAAGTTAAGCAAATCGTGAAACGGTTTCGCACTTTATTGTGGACCTTCGTCTTGGATATTGCGTACACTACACAACAAAGAAAGACACAAACGAGACTAGTGTCATCTTTTGGCTAAATTTTCGGTATTTATTTAACATAAAATGTGATCAAAATAGGTAAATCACAGTAGTGTTATTTAATACAGATTGATTCTCAGTGAAATCAATCTAAAACGGAAAAAAAATTCTTCGAAACGGGAGGATTTTTTACGTAAAATTCTACTATAAATCGGAAATCTGTCTAACGCGGAAACCGAAGAAATAGTTTGCCTTGTATGAAGTATTTCGTTTATAAGTTGATTAATATGGTTGATAATTACGGGAGACGCTACACTACGTCGAAGATGCTGGCGAAAAATTTTATCAACTAAATTTTACTCCTAAAAATGATTCGAAGAATGTAGTGGAGTTTCTCTTCAGGAAGACGAAGGTCTTCAAGTGAACCTTGAATCGAAATAAGTCGAAATATTTTGTCTGTGATCGAAGTTTAAAGCAATCGCACGACCACTAAACATGATTTTTTTTGCAAATACGTACAACTCGGCAAAGCCTATGTCGTTACGAAGCCGGAATTTTGAAGTTCGATTCATGGGCCGAGATATTCGAGGTCAAAGTTTTCCAAGTAAAGTCTACGGGCCGATTGCCGATTGTAAGCAAGTGGTACGTTATGTGTGAATCGAGTTTACGGAATATCTCCCGGAAGAACTTTCATTTCAATAGGAAATTAGTCTATAGTTAGGTGTTATGTGAAAAAAAAAAACCTGAAAAATCTACGTGGCTAGGCTGTTGGCCAGACTCGAACCCGCATCAAATAATAAGAAACGAAATTGATGCCACTAATTTTCGTTGTTACAAATTAAAACTATTTTAAATGTTTGATTAAAAAATAAAGTCAAAACAAGATATATAGTGGTATTAATTACATATTTTTGACCCAAAAAGTTTGCCAAGAAAAACAAGTTGTGACATTTTGCGTAACCAAGTACAGTAATGGATTCCGTTTGATTCAATGCTATGACTAATTTTATTGCAATTTGATACATCTGTTTGTCGTGTTATTCGATGATATATAACCTATATATATATTTTAATTTTTTAACATGGAACAGTTTGACAATATTCAAGTTATTACAATGTTTGATGGAGACATTTTGAGTAAAAATTTACAATATATAAACAGCAACACTAGACCTTAGTGAGACCCCGTGTTGCTGCTTATGCAAAGGATGGTGAGGGATAATCAAACATTGCCATAAATTTACATAAACAATAGCGAATTTTTTCTGAAATGGCTACTTTGTGTATAAAAATATTGTTTGAAACTTATTTACAGGTAGGATTGTAAGTTAAAGGTATCTGTTTCTGCTTACAAAACAACTCCAGTTGATTCTTTTTCCAAATGATCCTGTTTTTAATTATAAAACAAATTTTATTGTTTTAAAATTAGAAACGGGATTATTTTTTTAATTTTTATAAATTGTAACTAGAAAGGATGTTAACCTACTAAGTTTATTACTCCAGTTAATATTAGAAACCATATAACTATGGTTCATACAGCAATATAGAATATCTCTATTTAAAGCATTCTTTATCTTTCGAAATCTCCGATTTAGAACATGAAAACATCATTAATTTATATATTAAATTAATAAATATATTTTACAGATCAGCTCTCTTCTATTCGCTCATTCATCATAATTCGGTGATGTGCCAAATTTGAATCGTCAAAGATGGAGAAATCGTCATCCAGTTTTGTTCCACCGGACGGTGGATGGGGTTGGGTAGTTTGTTTTGCTTCATTCCTGGTTAATGGGACAATTTTTGGCATCATGAATTCTTCGGGTATCCTCTTCGTCAAATTGAAAGAGACTTTCCAAGGAGCTGCCTTCAGTACCTGTAAGTACTTTTTTGTAAATTGCATCACAAATTTAAAGATAAATCAAAATTTTGAAATTGTTTAGATTTTCGCTGTCGGCAATTGCTCGTTAGAGGAGATTAAATCGCGATTAGATTATAACTGTAAATTTCTTATACAACGCGGTAACCTTTAGAACTTAAAATATCACCCCCTCCCTAATGGTTTTTCGCAGTACACCAAAGTGAAACTTTACTAACGTTTTCAAGGTTCGTGTAATTTATACGACTAAAGATTAATTATTAATTGCGTAAGAACATTCTTCCCGTAGAGGGGGGGAGGGAAAATGTTTTCCGTAAACTCGACCTTGATTAATGGATATTATTTTAGCAGAAGATTTCATTGAAAATAACTCCCGTTATCACGAGAAGAGTAAAAGTGGGTCATCGGCCTTGTTTTATTAATATAAACAAAATTTAAAATAAGAAATCTTGTTTAATCTCTCCTTGAATTATCGAATATGTAATACAATACTTAAAAAAAAAATGTAATACGGAGATAATTTACTTTCTTTATTACGCAATTAGGTTAGGTTATTAACTTACCACCAGAAATTCTTTAAAAATATAATTTCAGTTAATAATTCTTACTAAACGAACGTCGAACCCTCTAATGTTTTTGTATCTTTCTGCTGTGATTAACAGAGATGCGATGACCTCGATAAGTTTCGAGATGGAAAGATATCAAAGTTTTCCTTCTTTGACTCCTTCCGCCCTGTGGGAGGATTTAGGCCTTTTAATCGTATTCATTCGGACAGGCCCACAACGAAGGTGGTGGAAAACAGGGCTTTTTTCATCACCTAATTCCATTCCGGATCCCCCAGAGTAGCGTGCTGACCCTTAACCGCCGTGGACATTCGGCCGTGTTTATCAGAAGTTAGGATCTTAAATTGGTTTATAAGGTAGTGACCTCAGATTTGATGTATAGCCTATACAGTTCTTCCTATTTTGTTAATACTTGCACTTTATTCTCAGATATTTTTTTTCTATTTTTAGAAAAGAGAATTTTCAACTCCCTCTCTCTCTTTTTTTTTAACTCAAGAATCCTCCAAATAATTGTGATTATTTTAAATCCGAATTTCGAATTGTACAGTATCTAATCCCATTCAATTATAGAGGATGTTTCAATAGTTATCAATGAGGAAGTGATTGATTCTCTTTATAAATTGCTTATAAATATCACTCATTTATATTGCCTTATTTTATAGGTAAATATCAAGTAAAAATTACTTTAGTCATTAAAGAAATTACTAAACATTGCAAATTTTCAGGAATTAATTTAATTATAACACATAAACAAACATCCCAGTGTTTTTAAATTAATAAGGAATTAATTAGCTTATAGTAGGAACATGTCATAACTTGTTTAATTCAGAATAATTAATTAATTAATTAATTAATTTTTATTTTAATTTTCAGCATGGGTGGAATCCATATCAATTGGAATGACATTTTTACTATCGCCAATAGCTAGCGTTCTTACGGACAAATTTGGAATAAAAAGAACTGCTTTATTAGGAGGTTTTTTAGCAACTGTAGGAATGTTAACTAGTTCCTTTGTGCAGCAATTGCCCCTATTGTGTCTGACTTATGGAGTGATACTTGGGACAGGTGCATCGCTCTGTTATACTCCGTCCTTAGTAATTTTAGGTCATTACTTTCATCGCCATTTAGGTTTGGTTAATGGAATTGTTACGGCTGGGAGTTCTGTATTCACTATGGTTATGCCATTTCTTCTTTCATATCTTTTACATACAGTGCAGTTTGCAGGAACCATGCAGGTAAGATTGAAATTACTAATTAATTAATGAAATTTCGTAAATTGATGATAAAATCTTATTTCATTTGTAGATTTTATCTGTAATGATGGCAGTGTTAATGGTGTGCGCTCTAACATTTCAACCTCTCGTCAGTCATAATCCTACCAAACATTCCACTTCAAAAGTAACGGATGTAGAAGTAAGATTTAAATAGATTATAAGTGAAAAAAAATAACATTTAGAATTTTTTTTTAATTGATAAAAATGAATAAATTTTCAGAAATCTTGTTGTTCTCAAATATGGCACAGTATTATACATGTCACTATATGGAAAAATAAAAAATATTTATGCTGGGCTCTCTCTATACCCACTGCTTTATTTGGCTATTTTGTCCCATATTTGCATTTAGTAAGTATTTAATTAATTATTTTATTTATTTCGCTTATAAATTAACATAAATTCATACAGGTACAACATGTGAAAGATATTTTACCCGATGCAAATGGTAGTATTTTAGTCATGTGTATAGGATTGACATCTGGATTAGGTCGGATTATAGTAGGGAAAGTTGCAGATCATCCTCGTATCAACAGAATTTGTCTTCAACAGGTAATCAAATATTCCATACAAGAATAGTTTAATCGCAGCTTACGTAATTAACTATTATTTTTTTCAGATTTCTTTCTTGTGTATAGGAGTTTTGACCATGCTCCTGGTTATAGCAAAAGATTTTATAATTTTAGTAGTGATGTGCCTTTTCTTTGGTTTATGCGATGGCTGTTTCATATCATTATTGGGCCCCATTGCATTTGATCTCGTGGGACATAAAGCAGCTTCTCAAGCCATAGGATCTCTTTTAGGATTTGTGTCAGTACCATTAACAATTGGACCTCCAGTAGCGGGTAATATTTTATTTTAAAATGTATATTAACTGTACAATAATAAAATAAATTTATAAAAACAGAGAATTTTTAAGATTTCTAATCTTTTGTAATACCAAAATGCACTTTTATATGGAATTTATACATTGAACATTTACATTTTTGTAAAAAATTTTAATGGGAGAATAATCATAAAACTGTGAACTTATATAAAAGTTCTGACTTTTTAGATCTATTCTAGAATCTATTTTGTTAACAGACTTTCACTTATAATTAATCATTATATGTAATTTTATAGGATTGCTGTATGATAAATTAGGAAATTATACAATAGCTTTCATAGCAGCTGGTATTCCTCCAATTTTGGGTGCTATTTTAATGTGTATAATTCATAGAATGCCACAGGTAGGATTTGATTTATCTAAAATTTTAAATAAATAGCTGATTTATCTAAATTTCAGAATTCTGCATTGATTACAATTATTCTAACTGATGGCCGGATCCCCGAGCTATCAAGGTGCCAGTCTACTGATCTGGGAACCCGGGATCGAATTCGGACTGGGTGGAAAAATCCCCAGAAATTTTTCGGGGTGGTCCGTTCGGACATATCGTGTTCCGTCCCTATCCATCCGATCTCCCCATTGTGGGCCTGGCAGGATCCATAATGGGCTTGCTAAAAGAAGTCCTCTTAGTGTCCACAGGACGAAGAGTTAAAAAATAAGGGTTTTAACTACCATTGCTTGTTTGTTCCGTTGTTTTAAGTGTGAAATAGGCTACTATAATTTTTAAATTTGGAGTAGTAATTTAAAAGTTGAAAACACAAAAATTAGACTACAGTAGACCCCCCTATTACACTGTAGATAATTCCGTGTTATATGGATTCCATGTTATACGAGTCACTTAGATTTTACAAATACGTGAGCCGTTCACAGCCCGGCACACGTATTTGTAAAATCTAAGTGAATCGTACAACATGGAATTCATATAATACGGAATTATCTACAGTATTATAGGGGGGTGTCTACTGTAGTTAATCCGGTTCCGAAATTTGAGAAATCAGTTATTTATATAAAATTTTAAATTGTCGATAAATGATAAATTACTGAAAATCTTCGATTGTTAACTCTATTTTTTCCTTTTCAAAGCCCCGTCGTAGAGACAATCTGGAAACTCTAAATCATATCTGCACACAAGGAGTACCTTGTTTGGATGGTAATTAATTGAAAAATAAATAATTAAAAACAACTTTATTGATTAAGCTTACATTTTATTGATTTAACTATTTCTATATAACATCAATTACTTAATTTTTTTTGTAGAGAAAGGAAAACAAGCTTACGGAATAGCCACGTGGGAAGAAAAATCTGAAATCCTACCGGCCCTTGTTCCAGAAACGATTTCAAAATCTGCCGAATTATGATCTTGTCTCTGCACTATTATAAATTTATATTTTTTATATAAATGTGCAGTATTAAAAATAAACTATTTTATGCTAAACATTTTAATGATTTTTTTTTTCTGATATATATTTTTATAATCTTTTTAAAATAATATTTGAAATAAACAAATATTAAGTTTCGAGTACTTTTTTTTTTAACAACAGCCATTTTCTTTTAAGAAATAAACTAATTTTACCGTATTATTTATCTTTATTTAATTCATATCATTGTAAATTTTGCGCATCCGAAATGATGTCGAAGATGGTATTAATATGCAGTTGATAACTTGGAGCTGCAACTCCTTAGAATCAAATGAAGCCAGTATAGGTGCGTGCAGGATGAAAGTCGCCATCTTGACGGTGGAAGAAACAGTAGAAAGGTTGCTGCCGAAGTTTTCATCTCTAAAACGTGAACGTTGAGCACCTCCATCTTGTAAGCCTAGAAGTTTGACAATGGCGTTTGGAACGTCGTTGGAATCATGCTTGATAAGTGAAACAAGCGCAAAGAAGAAAACAATGCAAGCAACATTAGTGTTCACGGATACAGGAAATTGTGGATTGAAAACCAATTTTTAAATATTAATAGAAATTTGAATGCTAACACTCGTTAATGGATGGCGAGATAACGGCGAAATTTAAGACGATTTATAAAAGTAACTACTGTAGGGCCTATATACTTTTAAATTCTTAAAAGTATATAGAATTTCTTTGGATGGATTTCAAATAAACGTTTTAAAATTTGAGAAGCTGTTTTGTAAATAAATGGTTAGAGTTGTTGTAAACACTAGCAATGAATGCGCGGAATTGTTAATAAAAGCCAAAGGTCAACAATAGTCTCCTTATGCCAGCTGCTTACAATCTATAATCCATTGAGTATTTGCTCGTCGGGGGTTCACGAGACAACTGTCTATTCGTTGGGCGGATCTGGCGCCCTGCACTGAACTCGAAGTAGGACGATTACATCCGGATTAATTTAAGATATGGTTACGCCCTGCAGGTCTCTTTTCCAGCTGGGCAGCTCTCCGGGCCGTCTTTAGGATTTTTGCTTTATCGGCGATCCATTGTCCCGTTGCAGGAACCCCCTCGACTCCACCAAAAAAAATCAAGAATAGAAATAATATAAATATAAACGATGCACTGGACCGAATTCTAGTCCCTCGCACGCGTCGTTTCATTTTTTCTTACACACACACATTCTCGCACTTCGTAACTAATTTTTCTGGTCCACAACAATATAATCCCTTTTCAACCTCCCTAAAATCCACATTTTTATTGTAAAAATTGTCATTTAATCTTCAATAATACAAACGACAATGTATTTCAAAACAATGATAACAATTGCTTAACGACAATAAAAAAAAACTAAATGAAGTCTTCTATTCCACACAAATATAACCTATCATTTTACGTGGCCAAATTATGCAAAAATTATTACCGTCAAGTTAATTCTCCCACCGTTTCTATCAAACCTTACTCTATTCGTTACATCTAAGTATTGATACTAAAATCTTATATAAGTTTCTTTATATAGCAGTATAGACTCGAAATTTGTATATACATTTTTTGCATAATACACACGGTATTTCTAGTTTAATTATCATCTACACCGAAATATTATAAGACATTTTTCATTAACATGCTACTATTAAACAAAATAGAAACTCTATAGAGTTATTCAAAAAGAGTTGAAAAGCAAAATGCGTTCGTCAAGAATTGTTTTCCTTCTCAAACAGTTTTAGGATATTTTAAACTTTATAAAAGTTTTCGTTATGCTAATATAATTTATATATTGATTGTGGTGGTTACTCTTCTATCCCTTACTTCTTTTAGACTTTTTTTCTCTTTCCGCCCTTTCTTTTTTTTTTTAACTCTTTCCGCCCTGTGGGCACTAACAGGGCCTCTTCTTTGCAAGTCCATTATGGGTACAGCCAGGCCCAGAATGGGGGGACGGGGCCCGACATATCCGAACGGATCACTCCCGAAAAAATTCTGGGGATTATTCGACCCAGTCTGGATTCGATCCCGGGTCTCCCAGAGCGGTAGGCTGTTACCTTGACCTCTCGGCTATCCGGCCTACTTCGTTTAGACTGTGCAATTGCAATTCTACTAACAGCACATTTTACTTATATTCTGAATAGGCAATCTTTCCTTCTCCGATGTTAGCTAGATATGGATTATATGGTGCGATCGTAAAGTGTCTCCTCAGTGTGGCTCGGCTGACTTGCCGACGTCTTAATTTACTTTGTGTCTTTGGACGCGCGACGTCATTATTTTGAAGCGCCTGTCGTTTGCATGAACTTTAAATCGCACTGTATTATCAGTATGTCTACTAAACCATAAGATTTATGTTGATTTCTTTATAGGTAGATAATGGTTTTGAGTAAAGCCCCTTATGGAAAAAATTCCGGAAAACGAATTTAGAGAATTTTTTTTTCGTACAACAAAACGAGTGCAGAAAATCGTGTCGAGCAGCTGGAGTCGAACCACTCCTGTCTGAGTGCCAGCTGACCCTCTTACCTGAGGGAACTAGCCGTGGTCCAGTCTCGTACCGCCTGCAATCGACTGAAGTTGGCTCGAAACAAAAAGTAATTGACGGAACATACAACCGTAGGTCTTTGACCTAATGCTCGGTATATAAACCGGAATGGGCTAACTTAAAGCCCACTGCTCGTTCTAAGTAAACGTGGGAACCTTCGATCCTCACCTACTATATGGCCAATGTAGGTAAAGCAATGTAAGGGCTAGGGCTGGGTTAGGCTAGAACCTACCTGGCCCGCAACAGAAGCGCAATGCTTAAGAAACCAAAAAGATTTGACGGAACGTTGAAAAGAGGTCTATAGACCTACAGCTCGGCTATATGCTGGGTGGCACCGCAGATCGACAAGTTAAGCATCACTCAGTTCTTGTGTGTGTCAAACAGCTTAAAGCTGTACAGAACTATATGTATGCGTTAGAGAGTTGGACTTGAGAGCGAGGAAGGCGAGAATGGCTGATCCCTGTTGGGTTGTACTGCCAGAGCATTTAACTCGGTCTGATTTTAATTGTTCAGACACCTCAGTGATTACTGGGTGTCCGACTGCCTATGATTAAGATACAGTCTCTTTATGCTCTGTAGAGCCATTTGGCAGAACAGGGTCAATACTCAGTTCGTGATATTAGTCCAAAGATCAACCTAGATGTATCAGGGAGAAGTCCTAGTACATCTAGGTTGGTCTTTGGACTAATTGATTTTTTTTATCTTGATTTTTGTAAGCAGTCATACGCTTAAACGGCCATCTTAGTGCCCACATGGTAGATTGAAAAGCAATGTATATTATACATTTAATTTATAACAACATAAAATTTCTAACATATTTTATTTTTAAGCAATTTCAAAGAATGAAAATAAAAAATTCAGTTAAGTTAAAAGAAAATTTTTCAATTACATAAAAAAGTTCAATAAGAAGATAACAAGGAATAAATTAAACATTATTCATTATAAATCTACCTTAAAAAAACAGATCACATATATTATAGTATACATTCAACTTGTAAAATACATAGTCAACGAGTCTTCACACTAAAAGAGTAAACAGATTTTAAATTAGAATATGTTTTAACATTTAAAATTCAGCAAGCAATGACATATTTATTTCAAAGGACAATTTGTTCATGCTTGATTCGTCGAATTCATTTTTAAAATAACTTTCTATCGTATAAATACAAATATTCGAAATTCAAAGATTAATTTCCATTTTTTAAACACAATATCACAGGATGATCACAATCTCCATTACTCTACACAAAACCTAAAAATAATATAGCTATAAATATAATAAAGATTTAAACTCCAGAAATCATCCAAACAAATAAAAATAAATATATTTGGCAGATCAAGATCATTTGAAAAATGTCATGAGTATAAATTAGTCCTCATCAATATATAATATTGATTTTATAATTGTTTACTGTGGACAAGTTACTATACAAAACAGAACTTTCAGATCTAAATTTATATACTTTCAGCAAAAATAAACTAAATATATATTATAATATATATGTATATATATATACAGAATTGCTTTTTGTTATTTTTTTCATGAATTAGCTGCTTGTTGGACAAATAACATTTGCATTATTTTTTGAAATAACTAAGAATCTAATATTGAAAATCCCTAGAATGACATAGTTAACAGGTACGCTGTGACAGAATATTTTTTGAAATACTGTATAACAGCATTTACTGTTAAGAGCTCATATTAAATATTACTATGAGCTAAGAATTACATGTACACATTATCACAGATTCATAAAGAATACATAATAATAAAGTGAAAAATGTAAATGGGAAACTGCACAAAATATATTTACATATTTTTTTCCTAGTTTCTACAGTATTCTGTAGAATGTGATTATTAAGATAACTTCATCATCATCATCATTATTATTATTATTAAATTATTATCACAGTATTGTAAATTACATGGAATGCATCTGACATTTTTGTTTCCTTCAATCAACCACTGGACCAGTTGTCTGTCCTGATCAGCAGAAGATACATGTTGTCGTGTATGTGAATGTTAAAATTAGGAAGAGCCGTGTATCTGCCGATCAGATTACGGTAACCTTTCCCTACGGCTGCAATGAAAGATAAAGAAATGTCTGGCGTGATTGGCGATTCCATTTTAGAAGAGAATTTGATGCCGAGCGGAAGAATGGCTTTCACTTCTTCTTCAAAAGGACGAAAGATCGTGATGGGTCTCATGGTAATGCTTTCTGCAACGATGATGCAACCCCAAGTTGTTCCAATATATAATTCTGTACCGAGAACTGCCATGGCAGTCACTTGGCATCGCCCGGCTGTTAAAAGTAAATAAATTACATTAAGTCATTTTAATAATAGTAGAATTTATGTTATTTAAGACCACAGTAAATTAAAAACTTACGGCTCAAGTGCTCTTCGATACTTATAGACATTAAACTCTCGGAACAGGGTGCGAGTTTCGAACAATCCAGTTTATGTAATATAGTTCGATTAACTGTATCCCAATGATAAGCAACACAACCTGAGAAATTTAAGATCAAATACTTATTAAACATATTAATAAATTTCTAACAGTATTAAAAATATCATTTATTTTTGAACATAACAGAAAAAAAAAAAAATTAGACAACTGTTAAATTCAGAATGTTTACTTGTATTTTATATTTGATGAATCGTGAAATTATGTTTCTTACTTACTTTAAATACTTTGAAAGACATAACTATTAATATTATTAACATTGAACAAAATTTTTTTAATAATATATTGTGATAGAAATACACTTTTGAAGACATTACAAAATCAAACAATAAATGCAATATTTGCATGAGCATAATAATTTTGAAATAAATTGGCAAAGAGTATAAATTCTGAATAATTGAAATATACTCTGTTCCAAAAAAAATTGATCCTCCTTAAATTGATAGTAGTAATCAAATTCTACATACAAAATATAAGTGTTATAGGAGAGAAAATTAATATTTAGAGATGGCAGAAAAAGAAAAACAGGAAGTAGGAGCTTTGTCTCTGAGATTTGTTGCTCAGGAGGAAATAAATTGGAAAGAGTTTGTAAAAGCCTTGATGGATGATGAGACAGTAATTGTACAAATAGGAGAGATGACAAAAAGATCATGTATAATGACAGCAAGAGATGAGGCAATGAAAATGGCAATTCTTGAGACAGAATGGAAATGGCACGGAAAAAATGTGAGTGTAAGAGCGTTAAAAGGAAAAATTAAGAGATTACAATTGTTAAGAGTACCATACGAAATTGATAGAAAAGAAATAGAATTAAAAATGAAAGAATATGGAAAAGTAATCCTCATAGAATGTGATTATCTTCTGCCCGACAGAGATATTCTCACAGACAAAAGGTATGTTACCATACAAATGGAGAAAGAGGTTCCTAATTTTATTGAGATACGAGGATGTAGAATTCGAATAGAATATCCCGGTGTGAAGTGGCAATGTGCAAACTGCCTATCAGAAGAACACAGAGTTAGGGACTGTCCAAGTGTAAAGTGCCATCAATGCAATGAATATGGTCATAAAAAATACCAATGTAAAAAGAAAGATAAAGAGAGAAATGAGATTGAAGAAGTAGAGAATGAGAGGGAAGAGAAGCAAGAAAGTGATAAGGATGAAGGAAGTATGGATGAGGCTTTAAGTGAAAAAAGTGTAGAATTAGTAAGAAAAGAATTGTTGGAAGTAGTTCAAAACCTAGAAATGAGTATAGAGGAAGCAAAAGAAATAGGAACAAAAGAGGGAGAGGAACAAGAGATGAAAGAAAAAGGAGTAGTAAAACAAATGAAAAAGTTCAGAAATATGTACTGGAGAAACGAGGTTCTATACCGACTCTATAAAGGTACCGAAAGTGTTCAAGGCGAGATTCAATGGTCAAGTGTACAGGAAGACGAGAATAGAACTGATAAATGAAGGATGGGAGGAGCACGACATCAAAACGTGGGCAGCATATATAGAAGAGCCAGTAGCAGCTGTGAGAAAAGAAATAAAAAAAGAGTGGTGGAGATGGTTTAAAGGTTGTGGCGAACAATATTTTGCCCATAAGGCACAAGTGGGAACTATATTACGAGATGAACAATGAGTTTAATGTTTTTATAGTGTTAGATTTGTGCATTTTTGGGTTCTGTTTAATGTTATCTTAAATGGGGGTGATTGAACTTTTAGAGTTTTGAGATTGTAAATACAGGTGGTTTTTGAAGTTTTGTGAACTGTCATGTTTTCTTTGCCATTACTGCCTTTGTGCTGTACTATCACTTTGGCGGGGAGGAGGGGGGACTGACAATATTCCTTGATTTTAATTGATGTTTTTGAGTTGGTTTTTTGGGTGAATTTGATGCTACTAATTGATGTGTTGATATTTAATAATATTATGTTTGATATGTTTAGATTGCTGTTGATCATCAAGGGATATATGAGAAAAGAAGTTGACAGAAGGTAATGTTGTTATGGTTGTATGCCTATGATGAAAATAGTAAATGGGAGAAAAATGAAAAAGAAGAAAGAATAAAGAACTGGTATGATGTTGAAGTATGTTGGCCTAAACCCTTGATGTTTCTATGCTAATTTGTCGTTGGTCTACTGTGACTAACATGCTGTGTTTCCCAGAGNATTTATTTAACATAAAATGTGATCAAAATAGGTAAATCACAGTAGTGTTATTTAATACAGATTGATTCTCAGTGAAATCAGTCTAAAACGGAAAAAAAATTCTTCGAAACGGGAGGATTTTTTACGTAAAATTCTACTATAAATCGGAAATCTGTCTAACGCGGAAACCGAAGAAATAGTTTGCCTTGTATGAAGTATTTCGTTTATAAGTTGATTAATATGGTTGATAATTACGGGAGACGCTACACTACGTCGAAGATGCTGGCGAAAAATTTTATCAACTAAATTTTACTCCTAAAAATGATTCGAAGAATGTAGTGGAGTTTCTCTTCAGGAAGACGAAGGTCTTCAAGTGAACCTTGAATCGAAATAAGTCGAAATATTTTGTCTGTGATCGAAGTTTAAAGCAATCGCACGACCACTAAACATGATTTTTTTGCAAATACGTACAACTCGGCAAAGCCTATGTCGTTACGAAGCCGGAATTTTGAAGTTCGATTCATGGGCCGAGATATTCGAGGTCAAAGTTTTCCAAGTAAAGTCTACGGGCCGATTGCCGATTGTAAGCAAGTGGTACGTTATGTGTGAATCGAGTTTACGGAATATCTCCCGGAAGAACTTTCATTTCAATAGGAAATTAGTCTATAGTTAGGTGTTATGTGAAAAAAAAAACCTGAAAAATCTACGTGGCTAGGCTGTTGGCCAGACTCGAACCCGCATCAAATAATAAGAAACGAAATTGATGCCACTAATTTTCGTTGTTACAAATTAAAACTATTTTAAATGTTTGATTAAAAAATAAAGTCAAAACAAGATATATAGTGGTATTAATTACATATTTTTGACCCAAAAAGTTTGCCAAGAAAAACAAGTTGTGACATTTTGCGTAACCAAGTACAGTAATGGATTCCGTTTGATTCAATGCTATGACTAATTTTATTGCAATTTGATACATCTGTTTGTCGTGTTATTCGATGATATATAACCTATATATATATTTTAATTTTTTAACATGGAACAGTTTGACAATATTCAAGTTATTACAATGTTTGATGGAGACATTTTGAGTAAAAATTTACAATATATAAACAGCAACACTAGACCTTAGTGAGACCCCGTGTTGCTGCTTATGCAAAGGATGGTGAGGGATAATCAAACATTGCCATAAATTTACATAAACAATAGCGAATTTTTTCTGAAATGGCTACTTTGTGTATAAAAATATTGTTTGAAACTTATTTACAGGTAGGATTGTAAGTTAAAGGTATCTGTTTCTGCTTACAAAACAACTCCAGTTGATTCTTTTTCCAAATGATCCTGTTTTTAATTATAAAACAAATTTTATTGTTTTAAAATTAGAAACGGGATTATTTTTTTAATTTTTATAAATTGTAACTAGAAAGGATGTTAACCTACTAAGTTTATTACTCCAGTTAATATTAGAAACCATATAACTATGGTTCATACAGCAATATAGAATATCTCTATTTAAAGCATTCTTTATCTTTCGAAATCTCCGATTTAGAACATGAAAACATCATTAATTTATATATTAAATTAATAAATATATTTTACAGATCAGCTCTCTTCTATTCGCTCATTCATCATAATTCGGTGATGTGCCAAATTTGAATCGTCAAAGATGGAGAAATCGTCATCCAGTTTTGTTCCACCGGACGGTGGATGGGGTTGGGTAGTTTGTTTTGCTTCATTCCTGGTTAATGGGACAATTTTTGGCATCATGAATTCTTCGGGTATCCTCTTCGTCAAATTGAAAGAGACTTTCCAAGGAGCTGCCTTCAGTACCTGTAAGTACTTTTTTGTAAATTGCATCACAAATTTAAAGATAAATCAAAATTTTGAAATTGTTTAGATTTTCGCTGTCGGCAATTGCTCGTTAGAGGAGATTAAATCGCGATTAGATTATAACTGTAAATTTCTTATACAACGCGGTAACCTTTAGAACTTAAAATATCACCCCCTCCCTAATGGTTTTTCGCAGTACACCAAAGTGAAACTTTACTAACGTTTTCAAGGTTCGTGTAATTTATACGACTAAAGATTAATTATTAATTGCGTAAGAACATTCTTCCCGTAGAGGGGGGGAGGGAAAATGTTTTCCGTAAACTCGACCTTGATTAATGGATATTATTTTAGCAGAAGATTTCATTGAAAATAACTCCCGTTATCACGAGAAGAGTAAAAGTGGGTCATCGGCCTTGTTTTATTAATATAAACAAAATTTAAAATAAGAAATCTTGTTTAATCTCTCCTTGAATTATCGAATATGTAATACAATACTTAAAAAAAAAATGTAATACGGAGATAATTTACTTTCTTTATTACGCAATTAGGTTAGGTTATTAACTTACCACCAGAAATTCTTTAAAAATATAATTTCAGTTAATAATTCTTACTAAACGAACGTCGAACCCTCTAATGTTTTTGTATCTTTCTGCTGTGATTAACAGAGATGCGATGACCTCGATAAGTTTCGAGATGGAAAGATATCAAAGTTTTCCTTCTTTGACTCCTTCCGCCCTGTGGGAGGATTTAGGCCTTTTAATCGTATTCATTCGGACAGGCCCACAACGAAGGTGGTGGAAAACAGGGCTTTTTTCATCACCTAATTCCATTCCGGATCCCCCAGAGTAGCGTGCTGACCCTTAACCGCCGTGGACATTCGGCCGTGTTTATCAGAAGTTAGGATCTTAAATTGGTTTATAAGGTAGTGACCTCAGATTTGATGTATAGCCTATACAGTTCTTCCTATTTTGTTAATACTTGCACTTTATTCTCAGATATTTTTTTTTCTATTTTTAGAAAAGAGAATTTTCAACTCCCTCTCTCTCTTTTTTTTTAACTCAAGAATCCTCCAAATAATTGTGATTATTTTAAATCCGAAT